GCAGGAAGAGGACCAAGTCTGCATCTCTCACCTCAGAGGACCACATCTGCACCATCATCTGTGCAATGCCTCCTGCCAGCTTAGCTTTGTCTCCCTCTACCCCACACCTAGCCCTAACTGCAAACCCCACTTTTAGGGGCCCATTTCCCCTCATTCCCCAGACCTTGTGATGGCTTTAGTAGGAGCTGGCTCCCCTTTTGCATGAGGGTAGCCGTCTGTCTGCCCAGAAGCACAAGGAGGGCAGCTGGAGGAAGCCTTCTATTTACCCTAATGGGACTGAAAACACGTTCAGTAGATTGGCAAAATATACAGAGAGCAGAACTCAACATGCTGGAAAATGTGGGAGTTGGCAAACGCATTTGTGGCATTAAAAGTATACACGTAAAGGTGCCAAGCATTATATTTGCATAGTTAGCAGGCACTGGAATGTTTCCATCCCCTAGAGTGCCACCAAGGCACTGCTCTCCAAGGCAGGGGTGCCTTCAGTATTCAATCTTCGGCTGCCAAGAGCTTCAGGATAAATGCATGCATGTCCAAATAGGTCAGCACCTGGGCATAATGCATACTTCTCTCCTTGCCCAGCCTCAGGGGTTTTCTATATTATTAAAGACTCAGTGATGGGTCTCCCATGCCTTGCATGCAGATAAAGATGCTAGTAAAGTCCTATCAGCAAGGGGACTGGGATACCAGAGAGGAAAGCTGGAGTATTCAGCACAGAAGTTCCTCTGCCCCTGCTCTCCCTCTGCTCTGGTGCCATGGTTCCTGGAGGAATAGATTACAGGCTGATACTCACTGTTTTCTTCCTCATCCACTTTGTGATAAGGCAGATTTTTTACCAAGCAGGGAGCAATCTGATCTCATGCTTATTTTCATAAATGCAGGGAAGAAATCCTGTTTCCCCTGCTCTGAGAATTTCTTTCATTTCTCTGCTTCCATACGACAATAATGAACTTTAGACTAAATAAATACACAGCTCCAAATTGCAATGAAGCTTTCCCCTTGGTGCTGCTGCTGGGCTGCTTACAGGATTTTAAGGCATGCCAAGAACCGTAGATGTTGTCGGTGCCTTTTCTTCTTATTGTACAGCACCTATGCATCAACCCTAAGCACTAAGTGCTCTAAGTTACAAACTAGAGCACAGATGCATTGGAAATGAATACTTGTATAAAGACAAAACATCCCAAACAGTGGGGTGTGACACCCTTTCCATGCTTCTGCTGAAACCCTCAGTCCTTAGGCATAGTCCGGGGGCTGAAGCAGTTAACTGCAGAGAAGGCAGAGCCATTAAAAGTGATGGCCTATATATGCCAAGAAGCCTCACAGTCGCTCTTTGATGTTAGATTTAATCCACAGTTCGCTGTGCAAGCATGGCTGGTTGTACAGCTCCTATAAATTAATTACAAAGGCTTTGTCATGCATGCAGAGAGGGGCACAGTGCTGCAAGCGCTGCACGCAGTCACGTAAGGTGTCGGGGGATATCCCACCAGGATTCCTGCTCAGCCCACAAGGTTTGCCCCTCTCTGATGTCCTTCACATGAATTGTTAACTCTATCTGAGGAACCCTAACTCTACTAAGAGGGTTGCCCTAGGTGGGGCACTCAGGGAAAAGGCAGTGTGTTAGTCAACTCAGGGGTGACCCTGTGCTACTTCACCCATCTATTTACAGGAGATCTCATGGCCTCATGTTAACATATGTATGCTCCAAGAACAGCCCCTTGTGAAGACCAAATGTAGAGCCTTTAGGGACAGGAACTACAGCACTGCTACTCCCTAGGCTAAGAATGAGACCTGGTGCCCAGACCAGAAGGTGTCCAGAGATGAAATACAGATGAGGGAACTCTGAGGTGCTACAATATCTCACCCAACACAGCTCTTCTGCACATTTGCTCCATCGCTGTTGAGAGGAGCACATTACCCCTTGCCTCCAGGCATGCCACAATCTTTCATCCAGCAACCACTAATGGGCAGAAGAGGAGGCCAAGCAAACTCTATGGAGAAATCAGGCTCTTTTCCACAGTGCTGGTCAACCACTGAAACAGGAGAGGCACCTGATCCCCCCATCCCACCAGGCAGAGGTGGCTGCCAGCCACAGACCTTCGAGCTGCTGCAATGGGACACAGGCAATGGGACGACTCCTGCCCTGCAGCCTGTCTGTCCTGGGAAAAGTACATGTTCTCACACTTGGTACAGCTCTAATAGGAGGAAAGGCAAGAAGCTGTGATGGATATGAGAGTTTGGACTGGAGGGTTTAATTATCTCCTCTGATCTTACACCTTACAGATGTACCACTCAGTGTGTTTTCTGAAGCATCTTTCAGAGGAAACCATAGGAAATATTTTCTAGTGTCAGAAAATGATGATCTAAAGGGTGAAAATTGAAGTCAGTAAGATCTCAGTGTGCTGCAGGGACAACAAAACAATCAGATACAGAGCATCAAAGGGCTGCAATGAGGACTCTCATGGCTGCTCAGAGCTGATGGGGCGAGTAAGCAGAACCAAAGGCAGCGATAAGGCAACAGTGAGAAAGCATGGCCAAGTTTTGAAAACAAGGATGACAGTCCAGAGGGTTGTGGGAGGCTGCTGAAGGGACAAAGAGGGAAAACATTCTTGACATAATCTTCTTTCAGCTGATGGAGCTTGTGCCCATCCTGATGGGACAAGGAAGCTCCCTGCATCTGGTGGGTCTCCACCAATGATCCCTGCACAGAGGGACACATTGAGACCCTGGGTGGCACCCTCACAATAGCTGGCTGACTTGGGATTTTGGAGGCTTTTCCCCCCTGAAAAAGCCATTTCAGCAAAAACATTGAGGAGGTCTTGTGATGCTTCAGGTAAAGTTGGAAGAGATTGTTATGTTCTCATCCAAGTGGCACCTGATTCTTCTGCTTAATTGGATATACACAAAAACATTTAACAACACAGGTTCACATGCAACACTCTAAATGCCCTGAATCAAAATGCTTTGTTGACCTGAAATGTCAGTTTTTGAAATTTCCTTGAAAAAAGGACAGAAAGTACAGCAATCTGGAACCTACTTTTTCTTCTTTCTAGGCCTCCCCACTTCTCACATATCAGAAACCGCCACTTTCTCAGCACGTTTTCTGTGCAACGTGGGTTTGTCTGATTGCAGCACCCTCAAAAAAGAGAGCAGCCTGGGGACACCAAGCCCACCCCAGGTCTCTGTGCTCCCCTTCCCATCCCCAGAGCAGACCTTGCCTGAGCCCAGCTGCAGGTTAAGGCACAGTCCTTGTCATCATATCCGCCCTCCAAAAGGAGCAGGGAGGGAGCAGGTCCGATGTGTCAAGCTGGGGCTGCAGTAGTGCCCTGTGCATATTCAGTGGTGCGGACAAAGGCGTTGCCCAGAGCTTTGAATTAGAAGCATGCGGGTGGGAGGTGGGATCGAACAAAGCAATCGCTGCCAAAGGCCTCGGGCTGCAGTTTATGGATTCAGATCTTGTCTGAGGGCAACAGGCCACATTTGTGCTGCTGTCAGGAGCACCGCGGGAGCTCCTCGTGATGTGGGGTGACACAAATGCTTGGATCACTTCTGCAAAATGGCATTTGCTCCTCACTGCTCACCCCGATGCCACAGCCTTGACTGTTGCCTGAAAACTGCTCATGGGCTTTGGTAAAATTCTGAGAGATTTCTTTACATGCAAATTTCTATTTTAAAAAGTGAACACGACATATTTTGACTTGCCTTGTTTGACAATATCACAGTTATTTCACTTCAATAATGTAAAACATGGTTGTCTCATTTTGTTCTGTGTGCTTTTGTATTACACTGCAATATTTCAATATCGTAGAGCACAGATGGAGCACAGACACTGCTTTAGCTCTTGTATATGTGCTTTGGCATTATCACACTGAAAATTTTATCGTTAACACAGTGAGATGTTTCACCAGCTCCAAGTCAGGACTGCATTTGTTAGGGAATTTTGAATTTTTTCTTTGAAAACACAAATTCAGCTTTTCTTTTCCCCGTTTTCAGCAAACCCAGCCACTGAAATGTCAGATCTCCCCCAGAAGAAATGCTCTGTTTCCTACAGCTTCATTGCTTGGCCTCTGGGCAACTCTCATCTCAGTTCCCAGCAGAGGATCCTTCTGCTTCTCAAAGGACCCCTTGTGCTGGGGGTGACCTCATCGCGGCGCACACTTCAGGACTACTTCCCATTATGGTTTGTCCATGGGGTCTGAGAGAGTTACATGGCTTTCACCCCGTTCCCCCTCTGTTTGCTTCCTCAGCTGGACATACTGGGCAGAGAAACGTGCCACATCACACATCCTTGCCCGAAATCCTTGCTCAGAAAACCGAGTGGCGGCAGCAGGACAGAGCCAGAGCCACCTGCCGCTAACACTGCTCCGTGTGCCAAATGTTTCCAGCATTTGGTGTCTGTTTCCCACATTTCCACTCCCCTTCTCACCTGGCCTGAGCTAACTGAAGTGTCTTAGTGCCTGTGTGCCCCTGCTGGGGATACATGGAAGGATGCACAGATGGAGCTGCCCTGTAGCCCTGGAGAGGAACAGCAGGAATTAGCCAGGCTGCTGGTCACTGGGAGAAGCAAGGGCGAGCCTCCGCGCCCAGGTTCCCTTTGTTTGGTTTTCTGAAGAGAGTTAGTTGTGCGGCAGGCCTCCGGGCTGAACAGCACCACCGAGGGCCTCGCTCCCCTTCGCTGCATTATTACAGAAGCTGGGGACACGCCTGCAGCCTCCGACCTAACCCTGCGCCAGGACAAACCCCCACCCCGGCAGCCTTCCCGGCGGCTTCGGGCTACGCACAGCCTCCCGAAGCACCCCGAGCCTCCTCCCTTCGACCGCCGCTCTTTGTTCCCCGCAGCCCACGGGTGACCTCCGCCGGGGCGGGCGGGGGGCGGCTCGGGGGCGCGGCGGGGCCGGGGCCGCCCCGTCGGGCGGGGCGGGCGAGGGGCGCGGTAAAGCGGCGCCGCGCCGGGGGCCGGGCTCAGTCTGCAGGCAGCGCGGCGCCCGTGCTCGGCTAGTTCTGCTGATTCGCATCGCTGTGCCCATGGGGCAGCGGATCCGGGTCCCCCCGCCAACGCCGAGACTCGCGGCAGCGCGGTGAGTAAGAGCGGATAAGGAAGGGGGCGGCGCCGGCACCGGAGCGCTGCCGGGGGTGGGGAGCACTGGTCCCACCGGGTCCGGGAGCTCGGAGGGAGCCCCAGAGCCGCGCAGGCTGGGATGGAGGAGGACGAGGAGAGCAGAGCAGCCCCGGCTATGGGGACGTCTCCGCCTGCCCGTGCGCTGTGCAACGGGAGGTGCGGGATGGGTGCCGGGGGAGGGTGGGGGAGAGCCGGGGGCGCGGCTGAGCCTTGCGGGGGACGGCGACCGTGTGCCGCTCGGCGAGAGGAGAGCACGTGGGTCCCTCGGTCGGCGGCGGTTTGGGGGCGGCTTCTCCCCGCGCTGCCCGAGGGCTCGGGTCCCGCATCGCATCACCGCGTCCACCTCCGCTTACTCGTGGGGTGACGGCAGGAGCGCGGTGCCCAGGAGTGGCGGGGAGGGCTCGGTCCCGGGGAGCGGTGCCTGTGATGGAGGGAGATGTACGAGCCGTGCTGCAGGATGGAACCAGGCGCGAGGGAGTGCGGGATGGGGTGCGGTTGTTCAGCACTTGGAGGCCTCTGAACCTCCCATACCCCTGCAGCGTCGCAGCTCCCCGAGCAGCTGCCCCTGAGGCAGGGCCGGCAGTCCGAGCTGCCAGCGGTTACATGGGTGCTGTGTAATCCATCTCCTCCTGTCTGGGAGGTGGAAGTGCCAGCGGTGACCAAAGCTGTGTTGACATTAGGGCACCAGCGGTACAGCTGAGCCATGAGAAATTACAGAGTGTGCAAGAGCTCTGGCTATTCTGGACTTGGCATAAATAACTTGCTCGGTAACTCTATCTGTACAAAAGCAAGGTCTGCTGAGTAATGACGTCCAGGGCCTGTGGGTGAGGAGTGTTTTTTAAAAATAAATAAATAGCAGTTATCCTTTAGACAGGGAAGTTCTTACCCTCAGAGGAAGTTATCATAGGTTTCGGTGAAAACCACAAATAAGCGAGTTCCTGAGACTGGGCACGAAGGTACCCAGCTGTTCATAGCCACGTCTTGTCCCTGGTGCACGCACAGTGTGGGAAGGATGCTGTGAGCCAGCGGTGTCCCAGTGCCTGCAACAGGGCAAGTGGGGTTTGGTTTCTTTCAATTGTGTCCTTGTTTGTACGCTTGTGCGTAAAGAGGAGGGTGGCTCATCCCAAGCAGGAGGCTGCAGAGATAGCGTCTGTCTGTGATCTCAGGAGACACTTGTCCCTTCTGCTGGCAGAGCTGTAGCGAGGATTTATTGCAGAGAGGACAGGACAGCAGAGCATCTCCAGAGACATGCCTTGCGGGTCCATTAGATCCACAGAAGAGTAAACCAGTGAGATGCTCTGCCTGAGGCTTTCTATCCATTTGGAGCTGCTGGAGGCTGATCCAAAGGAAAATGCTCCTGTTCCCAATGAGCACTGAGTGCACTCAGAGAACTGAGAGAACATCTCCAGCTGCTGGTTGCTTGTCCTGCAGCACTCTAGAGGCCCAGGTTAGCAGCGGGGCTGCACTGAAAAAGGGCTGTGCCAGTTACTGGCCATATACCTCATTGGGAGCTGTTTGAAGCTCAGTTTGTTCCTTGCCATGTGTGTACCATAGCCAGTACCCAAACCTCTGATGAGGTCTGCTTGGATGCTGCCCGAACACAAAAACCACCTTGACTTGGGTGCTCACAATGTGGGCTGCACCTAGGGGATCAGGCCGTGGGAGTCTGTCTCCTGCTGCTTTGCCTTGGGTTCCAGGCATAAAGGCCTATGTGCAGGAGAAAGATGCTGAGATTGTTTATGTTCTGATTTTGTCCTCACGCTGGGGGAATGGCCTGGTGACCTTGGCACCACTGGGACATTATTTATAGAAAGACTTTCTGAGTTTTGTGAGTTTTTTTTAAATGTAAGAATGTAAAAACAAGTCTTGGGAGAAAAAGACCCAATTTTTCCCCCAAATATATTTGGACTTTCTCCAGACCAACAAAAGCAGAACCTCAGAGGTCACCAGGTGTTCCCTGAAGCATCATTCCCTCCCTTTTCCTGGAAAATGTGGGTTCAATTCTGTCTGTGGGCTGGCATGAGTCCGCTCTGAGTTGGAAGGGTTCGTGCACAAGATGCTAAAAGATTTTCACAGAGACAAACCCAGCTACAGCCAGAGAATGCTTTGTAGCTCAGACATGAAGGAGAATGATAAATGACCCTCTGGCCGCCTTCAGTTTCTTCTGTTTGTGAGGTTCTTTGCCACGTGCAGGGGCTAATGCCACTCCAGGCATGTCTCTGCCCATCTGTGGTGTTGCACTATGCCCAAAGAGCAGATGGAGAGCACCAGGCTATGGGATGTGTGGGGCCCTGCGGGACAGTCTCTGCATGGGGCCGTGTTGCCTCCAGTGCTCAGCTTAACCACACAGTCGATGTTCACCTGGGCAATCCCTGCCAGACCTTGGCTGGACTGTGTGCTGTATTACCCAGCTCCCTTGGTGGGATTCAAACAGGGACCCAAAGGGATGTCCAGAGCTGCAAATGATGGCAGTCAGAAAGCTGTCATCCACATTTACCCTGTGCTCATTTTCTGCTATTGGCCCAGTGGGCTCAGAAGCCCATTCAGAAAGGCTGGTAGCAGGCTCTGTGGCTGCTGAGCTTCCTTGAAGTTACTGCCAGGGATTTGATTTAAGATCACCCAAGTCAAAGGCACTGAGAGAGCATGGGGAGAGCAGCCAGGAATCAATCAAACATGGTGGTTTCTTCTAGGGAGTGCCATTAGCAGCACGAGTGATGTAGCAGAGGTGCATGTGCTGGAGCACCAGGATATGCTGCCTGTAGCAGCCCAGTGTCTGAAGGGATTCTGTGCTTCACAGGGACATGAACGCACAGCCCCTTTGCAGCTGCCTGCTGCTGCCTGCAGCAGAGAAATCCCTCCTTTTCTTATTAAAATCAGGCAGGCTTCAACTGTGGGCCCTGGCACAGGGGGAAAGCAGGTGCAGGCAGAGCTCCACACAAAGGCTTGTGGCTGTGTCATTGGTGGTTGCATCCTGCCTGGGTTGAGAAAGTAAACAGTCTGAAGCTGTGTCAGCATCTGAACAAGAGAGTGTCAGGGAAAACCCACAAATCTTCAGGAAACCCTGCGGGTGACTCAGCTGGTGGTTTTGTCCGAGCACAAATTTGTTCAGTAACCCATGATTTCAACAGAAGGGCTCTTTTGTGCTGGTTCCATCTGATGAGCAAAGTGCAGACCTCTGGTCGTTCGGCTGTTTGTGGCCATGGAGAGCCTTGAGACTTTATTTCAGGAGTCTTATTGCTGAGCCATAAAATCACTCCAGCCCGCATTAGATGCTACCATGCCATACAGAGCTTAAGGAGCCGTGTGCCTACAGAAATGGCATTCTGGATTGTTGACCATGGAGGAATTTAAGAACGCAGGGTGTTCTCTTGAGAATCACAGTATTTTAAAGGTACATGATTTTTAAGTCCCTCTGAATTCTTTTATTGAACACTAAATTTTAGCTGCCTGGCACTTCACGTGGGGTTGTATTTCAAGGAGACGGAAGCCCGAGCTGCCTCTTGTAAAGAGAGAGGTAAATGCAAACAACACAGAAGCACTGCGTGCAGAGGGGGCTTTTCACAGCTGGTCGTGTGCTGTCTGAATTCAGCTGGAATTTGCTCGTGACTTGGGAAGAAAGTTACTGCAAAAGTAAGCAGCAGTAAGAGCACCCAAACTTTGCTTCACAGAAAGCAGGAGTCTGCCAGGAGTCAAAGGCTGCACTTAACTTGGACGCAGTAACTGAGAATAAAATTAAGCTGCCAGCACTGAAGTCTCAGCAAGTGCTGGCTGTAGTTCGGCATGTTTCTGAGCAGCAGACACCTGTAATGTATCTGTCACCCTCCTGCCTGCCCTGCCCTGTGTATGTACACACATGCACGTATACACATGAGCACCGCTGCTGATGTATGATGCTGATATTACTGGAGCTTGTTGTATCCAGTATTCTGAGAACCTCTCAGTTCTTCCTGTCTCTGGAAGTGACAACCTGACAGCAAGGCTATTGATGCTGTGCTCTGTCTGATGCCCAACCCTTTGCTTTCCCTCTGCTATAAAAAGAGAAATCTTGCTGTAGTTCCTTAGGCTGCTGTGCATCCTCTGTGGCTGTGACTTAGGAGCAGGTCCGCCGAGGACATCACTTTTCCATGCACAGCAGAAGAGAAGGGAACCCCTTTCCTTGTAGATTGTTTGTTGTCAGGTTTTTATAATCCCAAAGCGTGACTCTCTGCTGTGAGGTGGGCAGAAGTGAGATAGTGTTTGCCTGGAACATGTAGTGAGAAGCTGAATTCTAAAATCAGGAGTTCCTATATGTGCATTGCCTATATATAATTGTAACCAAAAGCCTCATGTAGCTCGGTGCATGGAAGGAACCTTTCCAAAAGAAGATGCAGCCCGTCCTACAGTAGGCACCAATGAGGGTGGCTTCCCTTGCCTGCTTCCCAGGCAGCCAGAAATGGGGAGAGGAGGAGAACTCTGGGTCCGTGACACATTTCACACTTCAAGCCCCACTCTCTTCACCTGTGAAATGCATTTATCCTGTGACAGGAGCAGACTGTCTCTGTGCTCCTTGCAGGGCACTTAGCTGGCCTCTTGTGGAAACTGGAGAACACTCGCATCCAAGCTGCTGTCTCTTTTTCAGTCTGCAGGTTCTTCATATTATCATCTTTTTCTTTTGAAACCTTTCTAAAGGGTGCTTGTGTACTGAGTGCCCATTGCTGATAGCATGCATTATGAAATCTGAAAGGAAGGTTGAGATTAAATGTCACGCACTTCACAGTTGGGGAATTCAAAGTGTCTTGTTGATCTGTGCATAATTCGGAGGCAGCTCATGCATAAACAAACATGTGCACATACACGCGCACACATGCATACACACAGTGCCTTCCCCTGAATTAGCAGCCAAAGAAAAAGCAAAGTCAGGTTTGTGTGAGCTGCTTGCCGGGAGCTGAACAGCATCTGTGGGAAAAGGCTGTGGGTTCT